ATCAACAGAACCAAGCAGGTCGTGAACGGGCAGAAGCCCAAGCAGTTCCCACCTAGCGATCTGAAGCCGAAACAATTCCCACCCAGTGACATTAAACCTAAGCAATTCCCACCCAGGGATCTTAAGGAGAAACGATTCCCATCGCAGGATGTGAGGAGGAAACCCAAGCCGATCATCAATAAGGGTAGATTTTACGATGACGACTCCGAGTACGATTCAGAGATGGACGACTTCATCGATGACGGGCCGGAGGAGGATGAGGATTACTCGAAACACATCAGCGAGATCTTCGGCTACGACAAACGGAAATACAGCCACCTGGACGACGACGTCGATAATATGGAGTCTACATTCGCGCAGCAGATGCGCGAAGAAGTGATTAGTACTAAAATGGGCATACGCGAGGATCTGGAGGACATGAAGATGGAGGAGGAACACAAGAAGCGAAAGGCGATAATGAAGAAGAAGTACAGATAATGATAAGTTCATTTCCGCCAAATCTTAGGTAACGAATCTAACTTGCATAGGGAATAATTGAATCGACGAAATAAGCCAGAGGCGAGCGCGAAACACGGATCTTTGTTTTTCGAGCTTACATAACTTTGATTACTGATTTGGGTAACTGGACTAACCAGAACAGTACTAAAAAAGAACAAATGATAAAACAGAACATATTAAACTTGCTTGAACTTTAATAATATTCTTCTGATGTTCTGTTTGTCACTGTTCTTTTTTTTGTCGTGTTTTGTTTTATCGCTGTTCTGCTTTGTCATGGAACCAAGTTGTTGTTTGCTTGCCCAGCCTCTCGGATCGTCGATTCAATTGTGATAGGATTCCCTCAGGCAAGAAAATTTTATATCTACGTTGTAATTAGTTAAAACTATTAAAAATCTAATTGTAAATTGTACAGGAATATATATTAAGGATATATTAAAATGAAAGAATATATGTGTATATATATTACAACTATATTTATATATCAGAATAAAAACATATTTAAAACCGCCATAAAAATAAGCTTTTGTTGATGTTACTTACTGCTCGTCCCTGCCAAATCCATGAGGGTAGTTCTAATTTCTTCGCTGATTTCGTCTGCTTTCGGCACTTCCGAGAGCACCCAAGTATCATCAGTGCTTTGCAACTTCTCCCTGCAGATTGGGCACGTGCGGTGATCTTCATTCCTAAAAAAAATAAATTATTTTGTTTCTTTTTAATGTATTGATATTACCATTCTTCAATGCACTGCTTGCAATAGGTATGGGCACAAGGCAATAGAATATCCGTCTTTCTCTCAAGACAAATACAACACTCATTCTGTTTCTCCGCTGAACTAATATCATCAATATTATCGTAAAACTTTGATACACTTATTTTGCTAAAATCACTGTTAAAATGAGAAAATATTATTAAAATAAAATTGTTTACATATTCTTTTTGATATATTGTGAATTCATTTCACATTGTAATATAAAAATTTAATAAGTTTAAATATACTTACACTTTGCTCTGTTCAGCGACTGCATGCTGCATCTGCAATGTATGAAACACTTGCAAGAATTCCCTGAGACTCAGCAATCGATAAGTGTGCACCTTGTTTGATATAGGTTCAACTTTTACACAAGCAATCTGAACAGTCGCTTTCCATAAAAATGTAGATTCAGTTCCTTTCTTCACTGCAAAAAGTAGCTGCTTCCCAGTAATATCCAGGCACTCTTTGGACCTGGGAATGAGACAAAGAAACAGTACTATAACCAAAACAGTGTTTATCAGTATTTGCACACAGTTTATTCAGCTCGGACATCCGCGTAATGAACTCCTCGTAGGTCATGTTGAAGATCTCTTCGCTCACCAGACCTGGGCAGGCTGCGACGTTACCACCTTCAGCGGCGAGTTTCGACCAGTTGCTGGACACGAAATCCTGCAGGCTCGTCTGTTGTTGACCCATTGTTAATTGATCGCTCTGCAGTTAGTTCGATATCGTGTCTTACACTGACGAAAACAATGGTTTGTTATTGTATTGAAGCAAACATCTTGTTATCGTCGAGATAATGTTCTCAGTGGTCAGTTTCAGTGATTCAAGAGCAATCAGCTGCTTGCGACATGAGTTGCCTATACTTAGAAAAAATAATACAGCTAACGAAAACTCGCAATAACTTTACAACCTCACTTTTTAATGAACTTATCTGCAAGAAGTAAGTTTGCTACAATTTAGTTAGTATTTTCTGCCACATTAATAAGTTCCACTTCTTATAAGAATAGACAAGATGCTGCGACGTCCACCAACAAACGTTGAACTGAAACTGGACGACATCCTCGAGTACAACACCATGAAAAAGGAACAGGAGAGCTCCAAAGATCCAAGTGATTCGAAATCCTTCAACACTCCACCAACATGGAACGCTGGTCCAAAGAGCAAATCCGAGGTGTATAAACGTGTTGGATACATCCCTCCAGCCACCAGTCCCATATACTGATTCTATTACTTCTTCAAGACATCAATAAAAGTTTCTCGTGGCAATGAAATATTCGCCACCATGCGCATCTTCTTTTTACCAGCCGCCTGTTGTGCCAAAAGTTTCATACGCCTTGTAACATCACCACCATACTGTAAAAAGTAATTGTTATCATACTTAAAATACAATAATAAAACAAATAATAACTAACCAATTTAGCTGTAACATCTTTTCTGTAAGCTTTAAGTGTTTCTCTTGCAATTACTTTTCCATTAACCGTCGCTTGGATGGCGATTTGCACCATTTGCCTAGGTATAATATCTCTTAGCTTTAGTACAAGTTTCCTTCCCATTGTCTGCACACGACTGCTATGCATAATAACACTTAGTTCATCAACAGCTGTACCATTCAGCAAGATATTCATCTGAATTTAAAAAATAAATAAATCTAATAAATAAGTCATATTATTAGATTTACCTTAACTAAAGAACTAAATTGGTAACCCATGTCCTCGTAATCGAAGCTAGCGTATCCCGAGGATATCGTTTTAAGAGTGTCGTGAAAGTCCAAGACCACCTCCGACAAAGGCAAATCATACACCAACATGACTCGCTCATTGTCGATGTTTGTTGCGGATTTCTGAACTCCCCTACGCTCCATGCAAAGCGATATGATCGATCCCAAATAACTGTCCGGCGTAATGATCGTACCGGAAACCATCGGTTCGTGGCATTCCTTAATTTGGAGATGGTCCGGAAACAAGGCCGGATTGTTCACGAAGAGCGTATCATTTTTGTCCTCGATGATCTTCTTGGTAGGCTTCAGGATCACCTTATACGTTACCGAGGGCGCGGTTAAAATGGGATCCGCCCCGTATTCCTGCACCAACCTTTGTGAAAACACCTCCAAATGCAGCAGCCCAAGGAAACCTAAACGCCAGCCCTGGCCTAAAGCAGGACTAATTACAATTATATTGCAGAATACGTCAACACCTGACAAAAGTTTTGGTTCACCTTGAATCTATATTCACAGTAACCGCGGAATCGTTCAGCACCAGCTTATCAATTGCTCCGCGTAAATGCACATGCTGCGATTGGTCCATCGGGTAAATTCCGGCAAACACCATTGGTCGAGCAGGTTTAAATCCTTGCAGTGGCTCCACCTCCTCATGCGTCTTGTGCAAGGTGTCACCTATACAAGATTCTTGGCTGCTACGCATGTTGCATCCCACCAATCCAATTTGACCAGCAACCCTAAAACATACCTCCCCGATATATATATTTATTTGTTAATTAACAAGAAATATTTACAATTTATCCACGCTCTCCTCGTTTGGTCTTAAAACGGATAAACCGCGCACCTCGTATGTCTTTTTGGTATGACAAGAAGCAACGCTATCTCCAATCCTTACCTCGCCGTCTTTAATGTACATCAAGGATAATGCTCCCCTATATTTATCGTACCAACTATCAAAGACTAACGCACGGAATTTACCACCTCTAACAGCGTTTGGAGGCGGCAATCTCTCAATTATAGCGTCCAAAACACATTCAATTCCAATACCTTGTTTGGCTGAAATCTATGAATGTATTTTGTATTAACAAATAACAAAAATGAATTTAATTCAAAAGTACCTTCAGAACATCTTTTGGATCAATGTCAAATAACGTTTTTAACTGACCACAGACTCTTTCTGGATCTGCATTCTTTAAATCAATTTTATTGAGTACTGGAATAATAAGCAGGTCATTCCCAAAAGCCAAATAGAAGTTGGCTACAGTTTGGGCCTGAACACCATCATTAGCATCCACCAAGAGAATCACCCCTTGGCAAGCTGATAGAGATCTGGAAACCTGAAAGTATAATTTAATAATTAAAATGTTTCATGCAAAAGTGAAACAAAATACCTCATTCGAGAAATCAACATGTCCTGGTGTATCAATTAAATTTAACAAATATTGCTCTCCCTGATAAATGTAGATAAGTGAGGCACTTTGTGCTTTAACTGTAATCCCTCTTTCCTTCTCAACTTGCAATTTATCCAGAACTTGATTTTGCCCAGATGTTTTCTTTATGGCTCCAGTGAATTCCAGAAGTCTATCAGCCAAGGTGCTCTTACCATGATCAACATGGGCTATGATACTGAAATTCCTGATCCTTTCCAATGGGATTTCTGTGTAATCAATTGGTTTTGAGCCATACAATCTTACAGGAATTATGCTGGAAATAGAATTAATTAATATAAGTACACATAATTGAAAGTATTAATACGTATTGCATATTTGCTTATTAACGAGCCTTAAGCACTTTTGAACATTGTACAGTCGCATCATTTTATTCGCATGTTTAAATTTTTTAATAATATTTTGGAGGTTATCTCATGCAATATTTTGGAAAAAGTTTCGATTATTGAAATTAAATATTTAAGAGATATTTATAAAGTATTGTATAACTAATATAAATATTATATAAATTCTATTTTGTAGTAAATTTTTAAATAACTGAAACTAGTCCTTTTAGAGTAGATAATTTGACTGGCAGTAGTTCGAATGATATAACCATTAAATCTACGATCTTTGGTGAAGATTTTTGCGTCTTATTTAATGAATCTAAAATGTCAGCATTAAGTTTAATGAATAAATTGAAGCCTCTAATATTTGGCAATAATCTGAGGATCTTGGGGTCTTGCAATCAGTTCTCAGTGCAGACCCACAGCCCAATAAATACGAGTCAAGTAAAGAAACCAAAAAAGCCCTTTATACCTAGAATCACCTTGATTTCAGCAGATAACATTGCAATCAGCACATTGGAAGATGCACAGAGATTGGCGAAAAGGCGTGACTTGAAGCTGGTGAAAATTCTAGATTTGGATACGAAGACACAGAGGCCAGTTTACAAATTGATGACTGGGACTGAGTATCATCAGGAGGATCTCAAGCAGAGGGAAGCCAAGAAAAATGAAAGAATTAATAGTAATGCTCTGAGGGGTGAGAAACTTCTTATACTCAACTCAACTATTGCTGAGCATGATTTGAATGTGCATATAAATAAGATCCTGAAATGGGTTGAAAAGAGGTATGAAGTCAGAGTTATGATTAATGGGGATATGGAAAAGGCGGTATGTTATATTTGCAAATAATTTTTTAAGAAGTTGATATATGTTTTTATTTTTAGGATAATATTTATAAGTTTATTGAGAATAAGGCGCAAGACGTGGGAAAGTTGCTGCAGAAACGGCAAAAGGGTAACGACATGAAGTTCCAGATAATACCGCAGAAGAGGAACTCTAGCTCCGGGAACGATGACCATAAGAAGTCATGACTAGCCGTTCCCGTCGTTACTCTGCTGTTAATGATAAAATATTCTATATTTTTTTCAATTTACAGGAGAGATTGAAGCATATAGATTTTTGTTTGTTTTTTAAATTTTATGCAAAACATATGTTTAAGCACGTTGTTATAATCTTGCATGATTTCAAATTGTTGATTAGTTTCGTACCGTCTATAATAAATACAAAGACTCTTATTTATTGAACTACTAAAAGGAATAAAAAATTAAGTCTTATAGTTTGCAAATAATAATTCTTAATATAGGACGTTTTTAGTATAAGGAGACCTGCACCAAGACCTCTGATCGATACAAGTAATATAAACAAATGGGGTCAGGTATAAACTCACTTCCCGTATATGAATGAGAAAATAGTCCCTGGTTTTAGTAGTCATTATAGTTATGTTTGGACATGTTATTTGTGCAAAATTTAATAAAACTTGCATGTCTCTGAATAAAAACCAAAGAATAAAATAACCAGCGAGACCAAATTATGTATGTCGTTGAAGGAATGTTTCTGAAAAAGTATTAAATATATATTTTATACTAGAATGCGAGAGAGCGAGAATGAGAACTAATGATTTTCTCCTCAGCTAAACTTTCCTTCAAGCTTTAGCTTTCATTCTCATAGAGATTGATGTATATTATTAAATGTCACATTGATAATATAAGTTGGTATCTGAGATGTTTACACGAGCATTGCAGTAGTTGATTTGGCGCGAATTGATATTCGTTTGGAGTTATTGCTTAGCGTCCAATTATACCGGGCTGATGCGATCTCTTAACTGAACCAATGTTGACGGTAACTTCATGGAACACGTCCTCATTGTTGCACAAGAATACCTTTCGGGTTTCCGTTGAGCTCTCGTAAGGCAGTTTCTGTGAACAGCTCCATGTACTATGGTAACGCAGGATGGTTACAAGTTTTACGAAACATAGTTGATACTACCTCATACTTGTAGTGCTGGAAACTGTTAATTACAATTAAGGAGGCAAATGGATCGACTGAGTGGGGACATGGAGATCTCCTTTCTTATTGTCATTTGTGTTTGTCTTAAGTATAAATTTGGCACTGTAATGTGCTGGCTGACTTGATTGGGCACTGCAATAGTGTAATGCATATCAAGTATAAATTTGGCACTTTGATGTACTGGCAGACTTGATTTGCCTTTGTGATATGTATCAAGTATTGATATGGCACTGTAATGTGTCTAGTGATGAGATTTGCAAATTTAAGAAAGAGTTTATTGAGATTAATATTTTATTGACATTTGAATGAGTTGTGATGGCCTTTGAATGAATTGTGATGATTTTGAGTATTTGTTGGTAGTAGTTGGCTTGAGCATTGTTTGGGGAATATGATTTGATATTATTGGACTTATTGACTTGATTAACGACGAAACAGTATTTTTATTTGTGAGATGTTTTGGTTTGTTATTGATTTCTTGAATGCTGCAATATTTCAGATTTTATTATTTTGTTTTTTTCATATGCTGAAGACATTTGACTTATTTGTGATTTTGTTGATTTTTGATTGAAGAAGATAAAAGTAGATCCAAGCGATAGATGTGGCCCGCATACCGTACATAACACATCGATAGCGCGCTCTGCAGATTGTATGACATTATTAAAAAGTTCCATATTTGATTATCTTTATTTAAGAAGTCGCATGATGAAAGGCAAGCGACCGATAGACATGGCTCTTGTGGAAGTCCGCAAGGAGCACAGAATTAAGCTGTTCAATCTCAGGGGCGTCTGTGGCGTCGCTGTTTACCCCGAAGCCCTCAAAAAGAAGAAGGTGATCGGCCAGTGCTACAGGTGCCAGAAATGGGGCCACGCTCAAAGATGGTGCCGCGCTAATCCTAAGTGCTTAAAGGGTGGTGAGGACCACGCCACCGATGTCTGTAACAAGGACCCAAATACAGAAGCTATGTGCGCCAACTGCGGAGGGGCACACCCAGC